AAGAAACTAGGACATTAAGAAATTATTCCAAGTTGGACCTGTCTGGACACTAATTACAAAATGCAAGCGACCTTTTTCCTTTCTCTGGACCACAAAATGCACATAATTATCAAAAGCATCCATGTAATCAAGTTAAAAGCTACTCTGTAAATATTTAACAAACTCATTACAAGAAATACAAATATGCATTACGTAGAAAAATTTTCTTAAAGGAACTAAGCATCTGCTCTCAGCAAGAAACCACATACACAATCAAAAACAAAGAAGAAAATCCAGTTTTTTGTTTTTTTGGGGTTTTTTATTTTTATTTTTATTTTTATTTTTTTTTTTAAAGAAAAGAAAGGCTACAGGGGGAAAATACTGCTTTAAAAAAAGTGGTTGAATTGGGTAGTTTGAGGTCAGGCAATTTGGTGCACAAATAAACTCAAAGAAGAACCCATTCCAGCACATGACAAAAAAGAGACAGGAGAAGTAAAAGCAGGAACTCCAGAGGTATCAGTTACTGATGAGTAAAAAGATCTAATATAATTTAACCATTGTTCACAACTATAAACAATTCTTGGTGCACTATCCTTCCATTCCCCTGTGGAGTCCTGCAAGGCCCCCAGAGTGCAGAGATCACAAGCAAGGGACACAACAACTGTCTTATGGTGTCCTTACTTTGCCAAAAATAGTAATTATATATTATTATGAATAATTATATTATATATCATAAATGGTAACTATATATATTTTACATTTAAGTATGTATTATAATTATTATTTTAGGACTTGAAAGGGTATTCTTGTCAGAACATAAAATGGTAAATGGAAGAATCTCTCATCACATAACATGTTTTGATTGTCCAACTTCACTTTCAGTCTTAACCGAATGTTTACATATTAGACCCCTTATGTGCAGTTTAATAATTTTGGTCACTCACTACAAAATGCTATGGTCAAGATACATTTTTCGGAATCTTCTAGCCTTTGGAATGAATGTGAGGACCTTACAAGCAAAGCCTAGGTACTGTGGAAGCACACAATGCCAGGAAGAATTGCATAGAAAGCTAACATGAAACAAGGATCCTTTACTCACTTTTACCAAATAATGGTTCAAAACTCCATAAGCCAAAAGAAAACACATTCAACAAGGCTATAAAAACAAATTTAAATTAACATGCCACTAGTCTTAACTGTAACAAAAACAAAAGCATGTATGTAAAGTTCAACAATTTGCCTTCAGAAAGTCATTGAAAATAATTGAAATGTAATCATTTTGATAGCATTATATTTAGCTGCAGTTAAGAGAAGAGGCAGAATTTTATCTCCTGGCAATGCAGAAGTTATGCTCAAACTAATTATGCAGCAATGATTTTCCAGTTGAATGATTTGGGTAAAGAATTTTGCTTCACTTACAGATTACTATTTAATGAGAAGCTTACAATGAAATATTGGAATTTAAGCAACGTCTGTTTACCTGAATCATAGACTCTGACAACTGTGTTTCATCCACTTCCAATATCATCGTCTTGATTTCCTCATAAGGCACCCGGAAGGAGCTCAGGAAGATTGCTGAGAAGGGGGGAAAGGGTCATAATGTAGAAAGTAATAAAGAGAACCTAGATGTAGTTCTATCTACATAAAATCAGAGTACATACACATTTACAAGAACTACTGGGGAGCAAAATTCATTGGTGCATTCTATGTTCTCCTCCGGGTTCGAGCTGGTGCATAAGAATCCATCTTGGTTTACTGAGCAGGTGTCACAGCTGACTTTGAAATCCGTAATTATTTATCAACCATCAGAATAGTACCAACTTTCAAGTGATTTCAAACAACTTAAATATGTTTGATATGCCATAAAAACCATCATGTTGTAATGAAAATGATAAAATCCCAGTATATGCATTTAATGTTTGACTATGCACATGTTATTGCCTTATATATTTTCCAGCACTAACTAGCTCAAAGACAGCCATTATCAAAACAATTAAGCAATGCATTCCCATTGTACAAGTACTAGCAGCACAGTACAATTCAAAAATACTGTAGAAAATATGATAGAGAAATAGAATTGCATTTAACTAAGTCTTAAATTTTAGAAACTATTTTAGAAAATAAAGTTTCACAATTAATTAACTGTATGGATAAGGGATGAATGATAATATATTACTGAGAATTCCCAATGTTACTTAGGTTTTTCTTTATATTTATTAATATACATATATATATAGTTGTATAATCTAATAAATTTTCAAGAAGAGATTTTAATATATATGCTATTATTTGCTATGCTTTAGATATAATGCTTTTGCCAGTGCATCCCCCATTACTCTACTGCCAGGTTGTCACGTTAAAAACTGAGGTCAGTTCTCAGAAGTTCATGGTGGCTCATGTCTTTACACTTAGCACTGAAAAGGCAGTGAAAGGATGTGGCAAGTTTGAGGCCAGCTTGAGCTAATCGGTGAAATGTCTCAAAAACCAGTCATTTCTTGAACACTCTCATGATTTGAATCTAGTAAAACTTGTTAAGTTTTTGCTTACTAGACTTGCAGTGACTGAAAACAATTGCATATAAACATACTAGGATTCACAGAACTCTAAAACCATGAACTGTTTCTGTTTTGAATAACCTTTTCATCATTGGGAACAAGGATGTCTTCTGTGTTCTCACTATCAGCTTTATTTCCATATTTTTGACCCCAAGAAGTCACAAGATATAGAGGCCTATTATCAATATTCTAAAAGCAGGACAAAAGAAGTAGGTGATCCAAAAGATACAGTTACTTAGGAATTAAAAGGGATAGCTTACAGCAGTGTTATCTAGAAAGCAAAAAAAATCTAAAAACCATATGAACACAAAGACCAATAAATGAACAATTGAGAGGATGAGAATAAAATGCAATCATAATAAAATGCACTAAACTAATTGTAGGAGATGAACTAAAAATGAGTATTAATGACACAAAGAAATAAAGCAACACAGCAAATAAGCTCATCTCTGGATGGAGAAGCACCTCCTGAGGACAGAGGCATGGAGAGTGGAAAAAGCAAGCATGCTCTTAAGTAAGCATAAACTTAAGACAGAAGGCAAGAAAGATGGCGACAGGGAGATATGCTTTATTAGTCAGTTTTATTTTCCCTTTAACTACAAGTAAACATATCTGAAAAGGAAATGCTGCAAGTTTTTCAAATCACCAAGACTAGACACCATTCAAGTTCTAAGACCGTTATGTTGAATTGGGGAAGAGTAAGTTGGCATGGACTCCTAACATCAAATATGTGATGCAAGGTTTACCACATGCAGCTTCCATCACAACTATCAACAAGGAATCTAGATTGGCAAGTGCCATGGTAAATGACTCACAGGACTTTGTTTATGAAACTCCCTAGTAGCTATATTTAGAGCGAAGACTGTCCCAATGTTACCCAAGACAGCATGAATCAAGTACAACATTCAGTGAATGAAATCCTATGCTGTCATAGCTGAATGCATTAACTTGGTTTGAGTCTATTTATGTAAAATTCAGCACTAATTGATACCACACTTAAGTGTTTAAGAGCAGGCACAGAGAACAGTCATAACAATAAAAAGGAAAGTTAGTGCTTCATCAAAAACTCTGGATAAGGAGGTTATTTCACATAAAGAGGCAGAGCAAAATGGAGATGGTTATAAATAAGCCTCTAAAGGATTGTTGTTTTCTTTAGTCATGGGTGTTGATTGTTAAATTATATCGCATATTTTATAAGCCTCTCCTAAGAATAATTAACACATACCATAGCAAGATATCTAATATAACCTTAAATGAATAATATAAAAGGAAAACACATTGGGCAAGGGAGACACTACAACATACAGGGTTGGTCTCACCCACGGAGGCCTTGGAGGTCTTGTGCTTTGTCCTGTCCTCCTGAGAGGCAATGTCTAAACCCAAGGGTCATTTTTGGTAGTTGAAGGGAATTTTTGTTACTTGAAGGTCCTGGGCTATACTAGAGAGTTGAGGTTAACAGTGTGATTTATGATGTAGGTTTTGAGCAATAGAACCAGCTCTATTTCTGAAGTGGAAACTAAGACCAGTAAAGAAGGGATGAACTATAATAAAGTTCTAGTAAAATCTAAGAATACCTAGGGTGCTTCTTTTCTGAGCAATACTCTGAGCACTGTGTCAACAACTCCCCAGCTAAGGGAGTGGGAAATTTCAAGCCTGGGTTCCCCTGTGTTCAGCCCAGTCACCTTTTCCAGGCCTCATTTATATCAACTATTTTACTAACATAAAGCATATCCCAAGCTATAATACCTTCAGTGAATTCTAGATGTCCTTTTTTTGTTTTTTGTTGTTGTTTTTTGTTTTGTTTTGTTTAGTTTTTTGTTTTTCGAGACAGGGTTTCTTTGTGTAGTTTTGGTGCCTATTCTGGATCTTGCTCTGTAGACCAGGCTGCCCTCAAACTCACAGAGATCCGCCCGGCTCTGCCTCCCTACTGCTGGGATTAAAAGCATGCGCCACCACTGCCTGCCTAGATGTCCTTTTACTAGATTCAGAAAGAACAAACAAACACAGCTCTGCTATAATGACCCTAAGGTTAGTGACCCAGGAGAACTGAAGAGAACCCAATGCCTAAACTCAACTTAAAAGACTGACTTTACAAAAGTTCATTCTTTAAATGATTAGAGGTTAATGAGAGTCACATGAGGAAGATTCAGTTGAGGGATCCAACAGGTGCTGGAAAATTAACGCCACCATTTTTGCACACCTGTCTTTCTCCGAGTGATGGGCAGACGCGAGGAAGCATGGGCTCAGGTAAGGGCAGCACTCGGCGTTTGTGATCAGTTCTGTGCGTGCTCACTGAAACTATCTACAAATACATCAGCCTTTGCAGTAATTTATAGATTTCAGGGATTTTTTCTATAAAGCTCTCATTCTCACTTTAAAAGAATCTGTCAGAATATACAAATCTTATAAAATTCTTGAGACTTCTCTGGATTCTGGAATTCTGAGTAGTTGGGCCCTAAGTCATTGCCAAAACTTTCATGAACTCAACACAATAGAAACAAGTCACCTGTGAATAAGTTAGGTAACAAAAATGAGTGGCTTTTAGATGTTGCCTCAAAGATGGACAGCATATTTCAGTGATGGGATAGATACATCACTTGTCTCTTTGATAACATTGAGAAGGGAATATCTCCACGTCAGTGTCAGCATTCTACTACCAAGTACAGTTTCACTCCAAGCTGTTTCATTCTAAACCAGCTGTTACTGCAGAGACCAGATTCATCTTAGTGTTCAATACCTCAAGACTGTGCTTTATAAACAGAAAACAACTGACTCCAACTATCCTTTTAGTGGCAATTAGAAGTTGTTAAAATATCATAGTGTTTAAATCAGAATACTTGGCTATAATCTGAAAGGGTGACAATAATCCTTTAATGGAATACACCCAAATATGTTGTGATGTGGTTTTCTAAAACATGTTTGTCAATTAAAAAACTTAGAATAAACACCCTCTATCTAGAGCAATCAACATGAAGCGGATCCGTCTCTATGGCAATAATGTGATTTTGTAACCTACAAACAGGAATGCACATATATTTTACAAGCATTATACACATATGCTATATATATATATGCGCGCGCGAGCACACACACACACACACACACACACACACACACACACACACACACATAAAAAATATCTATTGTCAGAATAAACCACCTAAATTCAAGGTTTTGATCTGAAAATCCACCAGGTTCTCTATCTATAATGTCAATGCTGATAGTTATCTGGTGGGCTGTAATAAAGTGAAATAACAAACATGGAACTTGCACAGAAAGACCATCAGGAACGATTATTATGGTGGTTTACTACTTCTGAGTACATGACATTTTACTACATGCTCTGTAATTTACAACAAAGAAACAGTTCTGTCCAGAATGTCAATTATCCAACCTTAAGAAGAATACTTAGACTAAATTATCATAGCTGATCCATCCAGGAAGTACTGCATTCAAAGAGTTCCTTTCAGAACCATAAAAAGGTCATTTTAAGTCAAGATTAACAATTTTAATGCCAGATGCAGATGGTTTTCAAAACATGATTAGTTTTTTAGATTACACGGTAAAACTTTGACAACATCCAATTAGCATGCAGTGCTTCAATGTAAGAAAACGTTACTGCAGTTAGAAAATTCTCATATACACATATCATATGAGACCCAAAATTTCATATGTATGCACAAAAATATCATTTCCAGTGAGGGGGAAAAAAAAAACATGCCACAGTAGAGAGTCTGGGCAGTATAATCTAATCATCTTATTACAAGGATAAACAACTCTGAAAGGGACCAAACCAACAATTAAATGTTTCCACCCAGAGGTGATATCATCTTCATTTATATATTCACTGGCTCACACATATCACAAGATGATGGCAATATTAAATAGGCAAAAATATGCAATTAATCGATGCCAAGAAAAAGCAGACTGAATATTGGCGAGTAGCATTAATGCCACCATACTAGCCCATAAGGATCTAATCTTAGCCTCTACTGGAGAAAGGCTTACCCTCTGCTATAGTGAGTGTAGAGAATCAATTCAGAAACACTAATAGAAGGACTATAAAGTCTACCTTTTGCACATATTGTTCTCATATAACTCTCCTTAATCAATGGCATGGAAAATTATTCTTTGGCTGGAGAACTGTTCGGTTCCAATATTTGCAAAAAGTTCACTTGAGGCATGTAACAATTGCAAAGCAGACTAAAAGCCATGTTAACACTACTCATCCCCCTAGATTCTTCATATTATATCCCTCTTGCATCACCAGAAAGTAATATACAAAGGTGAAATTATCTCAGCTCCAAGTAGAACTCTCTTTGATGCATTTAAGATGCAGTAAGAAATGAATTAGGGACAAAATTATTGCCTTCTTTCATAATAATTCAGCCAGGAAGACAATTGAACACTACGTATTTAGCTCCCATAACAGTAATTAAATCTAAAATATTTCCATCAGTGCTTTTGAGGAAAAGGCTTTGAGCTACTCAGGTGGGATAATGGAATTCATTTTACTCCTCATCTTTTTTTCCATTAATATTCTAATATTAATATTAATACTGTCCTGAATGATCAAGTGTCACAAATAATAGATATTTGGAGGAGTAAAGGAATAGATAGATTATGGATTCTTTTATCCAAGTGTGATGTCATCACCTGAGTTCCCTGTCTTTAATGCTTGAAAAAAGAATTTTAAAGAGTAGTTCCTGCTGCACTTGTGGTAGGCAGAATCTCACCTTAAATTCTTTTCTTATTTTCTAGTACATATTAATCTTCTCAAGAATTTAATCTCATAATTTGCATGAAGAAGAGTTATATTTGAATTTAGTATTCAAGCAAAGAAACTACAATAATGGAAAACAAGACACAAAATGAGCAGATTTCAAGAAACAATCCACAGAGACTCGATATGTTAATGATATTCATATGTGATACTTACAAAGGTTCTGAGCAATTTTAGGATCTAGAAATTTAAGTTCCTTAATTCTTTTCTTAATAACTTTCTTCTCTTCAAAATCATTTGTATTCCTTTTTGCTGTAAGACAAAAGAGATTTATACTAGAATCAGTATAAACTTCAAGGGCAAAACACCAGGAAATGAACTTTTTTCATCAAAAAAGTTAACATGTATGTATACTAAACCACACAGTAATAAAAATACATTATCATCATTTACTACCCTGGACTTAACACTGTTCCAGGGAGACACCAGTGGCACCTTAGGCTTGTAAAATTACTAAGACTGAAGGCCAAAATGGAAAGCACTGGTAAAATAGTTATATGACAGCATGAGTTATGAGAGTGTATATAGTAAGATCATTTGAGTGAAATGAGAACAGTTACAGCAGTTGATAAACTTAATTTAGAAAGGGTTAACAAGTGATCCCAAGAATACTAAACAAAAAAATACTAAATAATAGCTTCTTTGATATAACATGTATTTAAAACTACAAATCTGTTTCAGTAATTATTCAGTTAATACAGTATTCTTCATAAACACCATGTGTTTTTATTGTAAATTTTATTCGCCCTAAGGGAATACAAATTATACTCCTACATACTGCATAAACACAGGGCTGATTTTTATTGTATGCTTATTTTCATTCTTTTATTGTAATAAAGAATACAAAACACCAGCTGAAAAATGTAAGGCTAGGTGATGTAGGGCGATACTAGACCAAGCAGACATGTAGGTGGAAGTTTCTCTCCCTCCTGGTCTCTTAACCATTCAGTCCCAAATAAACACACAGGCTTATATTAATTATAAAACTGTTTGGCCTATTGCTGAGGCTTATAGCTAACTACCTCTTAACCTTAAATTAAGCCATAATTCTTGTCTATGTTTACCACGTGGCTTGTTATCTTTTCTCAGTCCAACATTCTTATCTTAATTCCTGGGCATCTGGCCGGCAATTCTGTCTCTGCCTTTCCTCTTCCCAGCCTTCTCCTAGTTTGATCACCAACTCTACACTTGCTGCCTGGCTACTGGCCAATCAGTATTTTATTAAAGCAATAGGAATGACAAATCTTTACATTGTACAAGAGCATTATCCCACAAAACTTGAGACAAGGTCTGTACTTTCCCATTATGCAAAGACTGGACAACAAATGATACAGCTACCTCTCCCAGGACTTGATATTAACCCCAAATTTTTCTTTTCAGGATCTCCTAAAGATGCCTTCTTCCCCAGCTAGCAGGAAGTAATTTTAAGAACACGGTGCCCACATTCCCAGAAGTGGGGTGGATGGTTTTTGGTCCTTCAGGGAGTTATGGATATTTGTCCCTGTTTTGGTGGCTGATTACAAGTTGTTATTGGTAATAGCCAGGAAACAAGCTAAAGAAAGGAGACTAGATTCAGAGTTCTTATTTGAAGAAAAAAATAAAATATAGATATGATAAAGGGTATATTATTGAATCTATGCTGAAAAAAAAGAGATACACAAATGACAGGTTATTGAATCTACTCTGAAAAGAAAGAAGGGAAAATATGGATATCATAAGATAAAAAAAGTAGATTATTGAAAGTAGATTATTAAAAAAAACTACTATTTTAAAACATTGTACATTGGATTGGATTTTTATATAATGTATGAAAATTGTGTATATTGATACAAAGTTGAGATTATTTTTGTTGGAACATAGTGTACATATATTTCTACTTTTGTTCAAGATATTATACCTATGCAATTCATTTAACAATGTAATTCAAATTGCTAGTCTTTGAAAGTTATTACACACTATTGAGGATAATAAAGAAATGCAAGTTAGTAGTTAGTCACTGCAATCAAACTTGTAGTCATGTTAGGTATGTTTTCAAGGTCAAATAGATATATTTTAGATAGATCATCTTTAAACACTTCAGAGATTTACAGAATATGGTATATAAGATGTTTTAAAAATAAAGATTTTTTTTTTTTTTAAATCACAATGAGGACATGTCTGCTCCTGGCAGCACCAATCTACTTCAGAGAAGATGATGGGCACTGAAGAAACTCCATAGGGAGTTTACTTTCTTTATGGCAAAAGTTAGCCACTGGGCAAGAAAATGCACTTGCCTCAATTGCTGACAGTATGCTGTCCAAAATGGACAAGCAGGACACAAAAGAAAGGACTGCCGAACTTTACCAGGACAGGGTATGACAACCTTCAGAAAATTCTGCTTCACAGATAAGGCTCTCAGATATGCTAGGCCTGAAGGCTGAAGATGGATGCTTCAAAGTTGCAGACAAACCTTGGGTGACTATCCAGGCAGCCAGCTGTTTCTGTCATTTCTCATATTTTTTGAAAGTCACTTGTTTGAGCTTCCTGCTTACTCAGTAAATATTATTTCCTTATCAGGTCTCTGAGGGAGTTGAAGACTAGATATAGTCATAGTTATAGCTTTCCTTGTAAACAAATTCAGAAAAGAAACTCACTAAAGAGATATTAAAGTGTATAAGTTTGAAAGACAACAAAAGATAGTTTTCAGTTGGTAATACAAGTTAGGATAGAAAGTATATTAGGTACAATATTTTGGACTCATCAAAATAGGATAAAGAATGGAGCATTTTCTCTGAATCTGTCAAATGTTAATGGATTGACATTGTTAATGTAATTCTTGGCTATATATTGTATATACTTATTGTACTTATTGTATATTGTTTTTCTTATATTAGTTATAAACTTCTTTTATTATTTTAGACCAAAAAAAGTAAAATGTGGTGATATTTGTACTCTAAGAAATAAAGCTTGCCTGAAGATCAGAGGACAGAGCCAGCCACAGAGTTAAACACAGAGATTAGGCAGTGGTGGCACACATCTTTAATAATAGCACTCAGGAGGCAGAGATCTGTATAGAGTTCTCTGAGTTCAAGGCCACACTGAGCTACATAAGATTGATCTAGTCTAGGAGAGCAAGAGAGCCAGGCAGTAGTGGCACATCCCTTAACCCCAGTATTTTGGAAGGACACAGGCTATTAATCCCAGCACTAGGAAAGTTGAGACAGGAAGTGAAATGGCTAAGTAGACAAAGGCATATAAGGCTTGAGGAGACAGGAACTGTTGAGCACTTCTCTCTGAGGACTCAGAGGCATTCATTCTGAGGATTCCTGGAGGAGTTGGTGAGGCAAGAAGTGGCTGTGGCTTTTTTCCTCTGATCTTTCAGCATTTACCCCAATATTTGGCTCTGGGTTTTTAATCAAGACCATTAAGGATTCATACAACATAGACATCCCAACATCACAGAATTTAAAGCCCAATACAATTGACTATGAAATAAATGGCAGTCAAAATACACTGATAAACTGATAATTTTTCTGTAAGAACCACAGGAAAAAAGACAAATCTAAGGCATGCAAGTCAAGTACAATCTTTCTGAGATAATGGTTAACCAATTCAAAGCTTAAAAAGGAAATATAGGTAAAAATGAGCAGGAGGGAGGAAAGAAAGAAAATAGAAAAAGTGTGTGTATGTATCTCTGTGTGAGAGACACACAATCAAGAATGTGAATACAGTATGAGCAGAGGATATTAAGTAAATTAAATGACACCAAAATAAAGTCAGGAACCTAATTATCCAAGATCTTTAAAGCCAGTCTAATATGTTTGAATTTTATTCACAGAGTACTGAGGAATCACTGAAGATTCAACATCTTTCAGCTATATCAAGAGAACTCCACATTAAATCAGACTCAGGGCTTTTAAAAATGGCACAAATAGTGACTGAAAGGTGAGAAGAGAGAATTACAATAATCACCATGGGTGAATACCATCCTAGGCAGACCTGGAGAGAATGGGTGAGCACAAGAGTTGCATCAACAGTGGGAACTAAACTAATTATTGCACCAAAGCAAGTCTTCCTTTTGCATTCCAGATTGGATATCTAGCTGCTTACTCTCAACATCTGTAACTGAATGTCTAATGCAAGTGTCACTACCACATGTCTACCACATGTCTGAAGTTCAACTCTTGAAGTATACCTCCCTCCATATCTCTCTTCCACCATCACCCCTTACAGCAGAAAGGAGGAATACTCCTAACTGAGTGGCTCAAACTGAACAGCTTACACTTCTGTCACAACCATAGCTAGTACGTCAGTGTCTCTAGTGGGTCTTACCTCCCAAGAAGCAATTACCTAACACAATCACTCCAAAACACCTCTCTGGCTGCTACTTCTCTCCTCGTTAGGACTACCATCTTTTTCCACCCTGAATACAACTGTTCCCTAACTAGTCTCCCTTGTTGCCTAGCTGCAAATTGTCTGCACCCTCTTTGCCACACTGCAGAGAAAGGAGTGTATTTAAAATCCCTAAAAAGCCCTTGCATGCCTTACAACTATGCCAACCCTACACCCAGCTTCCCCAACATCATTTCTCTATCTTTTAATTTTTTATTCCAGAGCGTTTCTCTTTTTCTATTTTTCCACTAGAGAGTAAGACGGCATGAATAAGCAGAGGATTCAGAGTCAAAACATGGAGCACATGCATATCCATGATCATCTTGGCACTGTTCACAATAAGCACATTATTGAATCAGCCTAAGTGTACCTCAAAGAATGAATGAATAAGGAAAACCTAACCCACACACAAAAAAATACTGTTCAGTCATAAAAAACCACCCCACCCAGGCATTCACAGGAAAACTGATATAACTAGAATTTGATAAAGTGATCCAGACTCTAGAGGCAAATAGTATGTGTGAAACACAGGATGTGAAACATAAAAGAAATCTTAACAGAGGGGAAAGTAGGAAGGACAAGTATTAGGGAAGAAAAACTGGATCAGAGGGAAGGGTAGGAGAGGCTAAAAAAAGATAATGGAGGATAGAAATGATCAAATCATATATTATGCATGGTTGAAAATACAATGAAACACTTTATTTTGTATAATAAACACTATGAAAGGGACCATCATCTACCACTGAAATGTGAGTACCAAGAACTAAGGCTGGACATTCAATGCTCAGTATCTTTTGTGTAGATACACTCCTGTGCGTAAATATAGGAATTCACTATGTCTAAGAGGAGAAAGTTACTGCTACTTTACTTGCTGGCAAATG